CATGATGCGCATGTGAATTGGGACATGTGGCAGAGCAGTCATGATTGGCAGGCATTGGTAGACCTGCCTGTGCGGACAGCATGCGCAGTAGCATTAGGCATTCATGTATGTGGCACAGTAAGGAGTACGTGGCCCGCACATGCGGCGCTGGCGGCCTTGGCGATGCTAATGCAGATCACCGTGGTGGGCATGATGGATGTGAAGACGGCAGCCAGCAGCCGGCAGCCGGATGAGGCATCAGGTGCAGCAGCAGCAGCAGCAGCGGCAGCGGCAGAGGCAGCGGCAACGGCAGGTGCGTGGAGCAGTGAGGAGATGGGCATTGTGTGATTAGAGATGGATTGGTCGGTTGCATTGCGCATGAGGATGGTTGTGCCGAATGTCTACTAAGTGCAACTGAGGTATGCCTTGCATGATTGTCACATAGTGAGCAGAGGTAATAAGGTGGGATTGTGGTGGATATATGACAGTCGGGCTGGATGCTGATGCTGATGAGGATGTTGTTGTTGTTGTTGCTGTGGCAGTTGCTGTTGGCCGAGGCATAGCAATTTGTCTGGCATTCACACCGTCTTCAATGGCTTTCTTCCTTTTAGTAACGCCAAGTGAGGGCCTGGGCCTGGCGACAGGAAGTGACGTATCGCATGAATCAGGTTTGTCCACTCTTACCAGTATGATGCCAGTGGGAACTTGTGCATACTGCAGGCGCACATCCACATGCCCCGCTGTCTGCACCTACATATATGTAGATGAAGGCAGCAGAAGCAGTAGTTAGCAGTGCGTCAGGCAATGCAATTGTATGTACATGTTGTTGTTGTTGTTGTTGTTGCTTTGCGCAGTCCATGATGCGCATGTGAATTGGGACATGTGGCAGAGCAGTCATGATTGGCAGGCATTGGTAGACCTGCCTGTGCGGACAGCATGCGCAGTAGCATTAGGCATTCATGTATGTGGCACAGTAAGGAGTACGTGGCCCGCACATGCGGCGCTGGCGGCCTTGGCGATGCTATTGCAGATCACCGTGGTGGGCATAATGGATGTGACGACGACAGCCAGCAGCCGGCAGCCGGATGAGGCATCAGGTGCAGCAGCAGCAGCAGCAGCGGCAGCGGCAGCGGCAACGGCAGGTGCGTGGAGCAGTGAGGAGATGGGCATTGTGTGATTAGAGATGGATTGGTCGGTTGCATTGCGCATGAGGATGGTTGTGCCGAATGTCTACTAAGTGCAACTGAGGTAAGCCTTGCATGATTGTCACATAGTGAGCAGAGGTAATGAGGTGGGATTTTGGTGGAAATATGACAGTCGGGCTGGATGCTGATGCTGATGAGGATGTTGTTGTTGTTGTTGTTGCTGTGGCAGTTGCTGTTGGCCGAGGCATAGCAATTTGTCTGGCATTCACACCGTCTTCAATGGCTTTCTTCCTTTTAGTAACGCCAAGTGAGGGCCTGGGCCTGGCGACAGGAAGTGACGTATCGCATGAATCAGGTTTGTCCACTCTTACCAGTATGATGCCAGTGGGAACTTGTGCATACTGCAGGCGCACATCCACATGCCCCGCTGTCTGCACCTACATATATGTAGATGAAGGCAGCAGAAGCAGTAGTTATCAGTGCGTCAGGCAATGCAATTGTATGTACATGTTGTTGTTGTTGTTGTTGTTGTTGTTGCATTGCGCAGTCCATGATGCGCATGTGAATTAGGAGATGTGGCAGAGCAGTCATGATTGGCAGGCATTGGTAGAACTGCCTGTGCGGACAGCATGCGCAGTAGCATTAGGCATTCATGTATGTGGCACAGTAAGGAGTACGTGGCCCGCACATGCGGCGCTGGCGGCCTTGGCGATGCTATTGCAGATCACCGTGGTGGGCATAATGGATGTGACGACGGCAGCCAGCAGCCGGCAGTCGGATGAGGCATCAGGTGCAGCAGCAGCAGCAGCAGCGGCAGCGGCAGCGGCAGCGGCAGCGGCAGCGGCAGCGGCAGCGGCAACGGCAGGTGCGTGGAGCAGTGAGGAGATGGGCATTGTGTGATTAGAGATGGATTGGTCGGTTGCATTGCGCATGAGGATGGTTGTGCCGAATGTCTAATAAGTGCAACTGAGGTAAGCCTTGCATGATTGTCACATAGTGAGCAGAGGTAATGAGGTGGGATTTTGGTGGAAATATGACAGTCGGGCTGGATGCTGATGCTGATGAGGATGTTGTTGTTGTTGTTGTTGCTGTGGCAGTTGCTGTTGGCCGAGGCATAGCAATTTGTCTGGCATTCACACCGTCTTCAATGGCTTTCTTCCTTTTAGTAACGCCAAGTGAGGGCCTGGGCCTGGCGACAGGAAGTGACGTATCGCATGAATCAGGTTTGTCCACTCTTACCAGTATGATGCCAGTGGGAACTTGTGCATACTGCAGGCGCACATCCACATGCCCCGCTGTCTGCACCTACATATATGTAGATGAAGGCAGCAGAAGCAGTAGTTAGCAGTGCGTCAGGCAATGCAATTGTATGTACATGTTGTTGTTGTTTTTGCTTTGCGCAGTCCATGATGCGCATGTGAATTGGGACATGTGGCAGAGCAGTCATGATTGGCAGGCATTGGTAGACCTGCCTGTGCGGACAGCATGCGCAGTAGCATTAGGCATTCATGTATGTTGCACAGTAAGTAGTACGTGGCCCGCACATGCGGCGCTGGCGGCCTTGGCGATGCTATTGCAGATCACCGAGGTGGGCATGATGGCTGTGCAGACGGCAGCCGGCAGCCGGCAGCCGGATGAGGCATCAGGTGCAGCAGCAGCGGCAGCAGCGGCAGCGGCAGCGGCAACGGCATGTGCGTGGAGCAGTGAGGAGATGGGCATTGTGTGATTAGAGATGGATTGGTCGGTTGCATTGCGCATGAGGATGGTTGTGCCGAATGTCTACTAAGTGCAACTGAGGTATGCCTTGCATGATTGTCACATAGTTAGCAGAGGTTATCAAGTGGGATTTTGGTGGAAATATGACAGTCGCGCTGGATGCTGATGCTGATGAGGATGTTGTTTTTGTTGTTGTTATTGTTGTGGCAGTTGCTGTTGGCCGAGGCATAGCAATTTGTCTGGCATTCACACAGTCTTCAATGGCTTTCTTCCTTTTAGTAACGCCAAGTGAGGGCCTGGGCCTGGCGACAGGAAGTGACGTATCGCATGAATCAGGTTTGTCCACTCTTACCAGTATGATGCCAGTGGGAACTTGTGCATACTGCAGGCGCACATCCACATGCCCCGCTGTCTGCACCTACATATATGTAGATGAAGGCAGCAGAAGCAGTAGTTAGCAGTGCGTCAGGCAATGCAATTGTATGTACATGTTGTTGTTGTTGTTGTTGTTGTTGTTGCTTTGCGCAGTCCATGATGCGCATGTGAATTGGGACATGTGGCAGAGCAGTCATGATTGGCAGGCATTGGCAGACCTGCCTGTGCGGACAGCATGCGCAGTAGCATTAGGCATTCATGTATGTGACACAGTAAGTAGTACGTGGCACGCACATGCGGCGCTGGCGGCCTTGGCGATGCTATTGCAGATCACCGAGGTGGGCATGATGGTTGTGCAGACGGCAGCCGGATGAGGCATCAGGTGCAGCCGAAGCAGCAGCAGCGGCAGCGGCAGCGGCAACGGCAGCGGCAGGTGCGTGGAGCAGTGAGGAGATGGGCGTTGTGTGATTAGAGATGGATTGGTCGGTTGCAATGCGCATGAGGATGGTTGTGCCGAATGTCTACTAAGTGCAACTGAGGTATGCCTTGCATGATTGTCACATAGTGAGCAGAGGTAATGAGGTGGGATTGTGGTGGAAATATGACAGTCGGGCTGGATGCTGATGCTGATGAGGATGTTGTTGTTGTTGTTGTTGCTGTGGCAGTTGCTGTTGGCCGAGGCATAGCAATTTGTCTGGCATTCACACCGTCTTCAATGGCTTTCTTCCTTTTAGTAACGCCAAGTGAGGGCCTGGGCCTGGCGACAGGAAGTGACGTATCGCATGAATCAGGTTTGTCTACTCTAACCAGTATGATGCCAGTGGGAACTTGTGCATACTGCAGGCGCACATCCACATGCCCCGCTGTCTGCACCTACATATATGTAGATGAAGGCAGCAGAAGCAGTAGTTAGCAGTGCGTCAGGCAATGCAATTGTATGTACATGTTGTTGTTGGTGTTGTTGTTGTTGCTTTGCGCAGTCCATGATGCGCATGTGAATTAGGAGATGTGGCAGAGCAGTCATGATTGGCAGGCATTGGTAGACCTGCCTGTGCGGACAGCATGCGCAGTAGCATTAGGCATTCATGTATGTGGCACAGTAAGTAGTACGTGGCCCGCCCATGCGGCGCTGGCGGCCTTGGCGATGCTATTGCAGATCACCGAGGTGGGCATGATGGTTGTGCAGACGGCAGCCGGCAGCCGGCAGCCGGCAGCCGGCAGCCGGATGAGGCATCAGGTGCAGCCGAAGCAGCAGCAGCAGCGGCAGCGTCTTCGGCAACGGCAGGTGCGTGGAGCAGTAAGGAGATGGGCATTGTGTGATTAGAGATGGATTGGTCGGTTGCATTGCGCATGAGGATGGTTGTGCCGAATGTCTACTAAGTGCAACTGAGGTATGCCTTGCATGATTGTCACATAGTGAGCAGAGGTAATGAGGTGGGATTGTGGTGGAAATATGACAGTCGGGCTGGATGCTGATGCTGATGAGGATGTTGTTGTTGCTGTTGCTGTTGCTGTTGGCCGAGGCATAGCAATTTGTCTGGCATTCACACCGTCTTCAATGGCTTTCTTCCTTTTCGTAACGCCAAGTGAGGGCCTGGGCCTGGCGACAGGAAGTGACGTATCGCATGAATCAGGTTTGTCTACTCTAACCAGTATGATGCCAGTGGGAACTTGTGCATACTGCAGGCGCACATCCACATGCCCCGCTGTCTGCACCTACATATATGTAGATGAAGGCAGCAGAAGCAGTAGTTAGCAGTGCGTCAGGCAATGCAATTGTATGTACATGTTGTTGTTGTTGTTGTTGTTGTTGTTGTTGTTGTTGTTGTTGTTTTTGTTGTTGTTGCTTTGCGCAGTCCATGATGCGCATGTGAATTGGGACATGTGGCAGAGCAGTCATGATTGGCAGGCATTGGTAGACCTGTCTGTGCGGACAGCATGCGCAGTAGCATTAGGCATTCATGTATGTGGCACAGTAAGTAGTACTTGGCACGCACATGCGGCGCTGGCGGCCTTGGCGATGCTATTGCAGATCACCGAGGTGGGCATGATGGTTGTGCAGACGGCAGCCGGCAGCCGGCAGCCGGATGAGGCATCAGGTGCAGCAGCAGCGGCAGCAGCGGCAGCGGCAGCGGCAACGGCAGGTGCGTGGAGCAGCGAGGAGATGGGCATTGTGTGATTAGAGATGGATTGGTCGGTTGCATTGCGCTTGAGGATGGTTGTGCCGAATGTCTACTAAGTGCAACTGAGGTATGCCTTGCATGATTGTCACATAGTGAGCAGAGGTAATGAGGTGGGATTGTGGTGGAAATATGACAGTCGGGCTGGATGCTGATGCTGATGATGATGTTGTTGTTGTTGTTGCTGTGGCAGTTGCTGTTGGCCGAGGCATAGCAATTTGTCTGGCATTCACATAGTCTTAAATGGCTTTCTTCCTTTTAGTAACGCCGAGTGAGGGCCTGAGCCTGGCGACAGGAAGTGACGTATCGCATGAATCAGGTTTGTCTACTCTAACCAGTATGATGCCAGTGGGAACTTGTGCATACTGCAGGCGCACATCCACATGCCCCGCTGTCTGCACCTACATATATGTAGATGAAGGCAGCAGAAGCAGTAGTTAGCAGTGCGTCAGGCAATGCAATTGTATGTACATGTTGTTGTTGTTGTTGTTGTTGCTTTGCGCAGTCCATGATGCGCATGTGAATTGGGACATGTGGCAGAGCAGTCATGATTGGCAGGCATTGGTAGACCTGCCTGTGCGGACAGCATGCGCAGTAGCATTAGGCATTCATGTATGTGGCACAGTAAGGAGTACGTGGCCCGCACATGCGGCGCTGGCGGCTTGGCGATGCTATTGCAGATCACCGAGGTGGGCATGATGGTTGTGCAGACGGCAGCTGGCAGCCGGCTGCCGGATGAGGCATCAGGTGCAGCCGAAGCAGCAGCAGCAGCGGCAGCGGCAGCGGCAGCGGCAACGGCAGGTGCGAGGAGCAGTGAGGAGATGGGCATTGTGTGATTAGAGATGGATTGGTCGGTTGCATTGCGCATGAGGATGGTTGTGCCGAATGTCTACTAAGTGCAACTGAGGTATGCCTTGCATGATTGTCACATAGTGAGCAGAGGTTATCAGGTGGGATTGTGGTGGAAATATGACAGTCGGGCTGGATGCTGATGCTGATGAGGATGTTGTTGTTGTTGTTGTTGCTGTGGCAGTTGCTGTTGGCCGAGGCATAGCAATTTGTCTGGCATTCACATAGTCTTAAATGGCTTTCTTCCTTTTAGTAACGCCGAGTGAGGGCCTGGGCCTGGCGACAGGCAGTGACGTATCGCATGAATCAGGTTTGTCTACTCTAACCAGTATGATGCCAGTGGGAACTTGTGCATACTGCAGGCGCACATCCACATGCCCAGCTGTCTGCACCTACATATATGTAGATGAAGGCAGCAGAAGCAGTGGTTAGCAGTGCGTCAGGCAATGCAATTGTATGTACATGTTGTTGTTGTTGTTGTTGTTGCTTTGCGCAGTCCATGATGCGCATGTGAATTGGGACATGTGGCAGAGCAGTCATGATTGGCAGGCATTGGTAGACCTGCCTGTGCGGACAGCATGCGCAGTAGCATTAGGCATTCATGTATGTGGCACAGTAAGGAGTACGTGGCCCGCACATGCGGCGCTGGCGACCTTGGCGATGCTATTGCAGATCACCGAGGTGGGCATGATGGTTGTGCAGACGGCAGCCGGCAGCCGGCAGCCGGATGAGGCATCAGGTGCAGCAGCAGCAGCAGCAGCGGCAGCGGCAGCGACAGCGGCAGCGGCAGGTGCGTGGAGCAGTGAGGAGATGGGCATTGTGTGATTAGAGATGGATTGGTCGGTTGCATTGCGCATGAGGATGGTTGTGCCGAATGTCTACTAAGTGCAACTGAGGTATGCCTTGCATGATTGTCACATAGTGAGCAGAGGTTATCAGATGGGATTGTGGTGGAAATATGACAGTCGGGCTGGATGCTGATGCTGATGAGGATGTTGTTGTTGTTGTTGCTGTGGCAGTTGCTGTTGGCCGAGGCATAGCAATTTGTCTGGCATTCACACCGTCTTCAATGGCTTTCTTCCTTTTAGTAACGCCGAGTGAGGGCCTGGGCCTGGCGACAGGAAGTGACGTATCGCATGAATCAGGTTTGTCTACTCTAACCAGTATGATGCCAGTGGGAACTTGTGCATACTGCAGGCGCACATCCACATGCCCCGCTGTCTGCACCTACATATATGTAGATGAAGGCAGCAGAAGCAGTAGTTAGCAGTGCGTCAGGCAATGCAATTGTATGTACATGTTGTTGTTGTTGTTGTTGTTGTTCTTGTTGCTTTGCGCAGTCCATGATGCGCATGTGAATTGGGACATGTGGCAGAGCAGTCATGTTTGGCAGGCATTGGTATTCCTGCCTGTGCGGACAGCATGCGCCGTAGAATTAGGCATTCATGTATGTGGCACAGTAAGGAGTACGTGGCCCGCACATGCGGCGCTGGCGGCCTTGGCGATGCTATTGCAGATCACCGAGGTGGGCATGATGGTTGTGCAGACGGCAGCCGGCAGCCGGCAGCCGGATGAGGCATCAGGTGCAGCCGAAGCAGCAGCAGCGGCAGCGGCAGCGGCAACGGCAGGTACGTGGAGCAGTGAGGAGATGGGCATTGTGTGATTAGAGATGGATTGGTCGGTTGCATTGCGCATGAGGATGGTTGTGCCGAATGTCTACTAAGTGCAACTGAGGTATGCCTTGCATGATTGTCACATAGTGAGCAGAGGTAATGAGGTGGGATTGTGGTGGAAATATGACAGTCGGGCTGGATGCTGATGCTGATGAGGATGTTGTTGTTGCTGTTGCTGTTGCTGTTGGCCGAGGCATAGCAATTTGTCTGGCATTCACACCGTCTTCAATGGCTTTCTTCCTTTTAGTAACGCCAAGTGAGGGCCTGGGCCTGGCGACAGGAAGTGACGTATCGCATGAATCAGGTTTGTCTACTCTAACCAGTATGATGCCAGTGGGAACTTGTGCATACTGCAGGCGCACATCCACATGCCCCGCTGTCTGCACCTACATATATGTAGATGAAGGCAGCAGAAGCAGTAGTTAGCAGTGCGTCAGGCAATGCAATTGTATGTACATGTTGTTGTTGTTGCTTTGCGCAGTCCATGATGCGCATGTGAATTGGGACATGTGGCAGAGCAGTCATGATTGGCAGGCATTGGTAGACCTGCCTGTGCGGACAGCATGCGCAGTGGCATTAGGCATTCATGTATGTGGCACAGTAAGGAGTACGTGGCCCGCACATGCGGCGCTGGCGGCCTTGGCGATGCTATTGCAGATCACCGAGGTGGGCATGATGGTTGTGCAGACGGCATCCGGCAGCCGGCAGCCGGATGAGGCATCAGGTGCAGCAGCAGCAGCAGCAGCGGCAGCGGCAGCGGCAACGGCAGGTGCGTGGAGCAGTGAGGAGATGGGCATTGTGTGATTAGAGATGGATTGGTCGGTTGCATTGCGCATGAGGATGGTTGTGAAGAATGTCTACTAAGAGCAACTGAGGTATGCCTTGCTTATTGTCACATAGTGAGCAGAGGTTATCAGGTGGGATTGTGGTGGAAATATGACAGTCGGGCTGGATGCTGATGCTCATGAGGATGTTGTTGTTGTTGTTGCTGTGGCAGTTGCTGTTGGCCGAGGCATAGCAATTTGTCTGGCATTCACACCGTCTTCAATGGCTTTCTTCCTTTTAGTAACGCCAAGTGAGGTCCTGGGCCTGGCGACGGGAAGTGACGTATCGCATGAATCAGGTTTGTCCACTCTTACCAGTATGATGCCAGTGGGAACTTGTGCATACTGCAGGCGCACATCCACATGCCCCGCTGTCTGCACCTACATATATGTAGATGAAGGCAGCAGAAGCAGTAGTTAGCAGTGCGTCAGGCAATGCAATTGTATGTACATGTTGTTGTTGTTGTTGTTGTTGTTGTTGCTTTGCGCAGTCCATGATGCGCATGTGAATTGGGACATGTGGCAGAGCAGTCATGATTGGCAGGCATTGGTAGACCTGCCTGTGCGGACAGCATGCGCAGTAGCATTAGGCATTCATGTATGTGGCAAAGTAAGGAGTACGTGGCCCGCACATGCGGCGCTGGCGGCCTTGGCGATGCTATTGCAGATCACCGAGGTGGGCATGATGGTTGTGCAGACGGCAGCCGGCAGCCGGATGAGGCGTCAGGTGCAGCAGCAGCGGCAGCGGCAGCGGCAGGTGCGTGGAGCAGTGAGGAGATGGGCATTGTGTGATTAGAGATGGATTGGTCGGTTGCATTGCGCATGAGGATGGTTGTGCCGAATGTCTACTAAGTGCAACTGAGGTATGCCTTGCATGATTGTCACATAGTGAGCAGAGGTTATCAGGTGGGATTGTGGTGGAAATATGACAGTCGGGCTGAATGCTGATGCTGATGCTGATGAGGATGTTGTCGTTGTTGTTGTTGTTGCTGTTGCTGTTGGCCGAGGCATAGCAATTTGTCTGGCATTCACACCGTCTTCAATGGCTTTCTTCCTTTTAGTAACGCCAAGTGAGGGCCTGGGCCTGGCGACAGGAAGTGACGTATCGCATGAATCAGGTTTGTCCACTCTTACCAGTATGATGCCAGTGGGAACTTGAGCATACTGCAGGCGCACATCCACATGCCCCGCTGTCTGCACCTACATATATGTAGATGAAGGCAGCAGAAGCAGTAGTTAGCAGTGCGTCAGGCAATGCAATTGTATGTACATGTTGTTGTTGTTGTTGTTGTTGTTGCTTTGCGCAGTCCATGATGCGCATGTGAATTGGGACATGTGGCAGAGCAGTCATGATTGGCAGGCATTGGTAGACCTGCCTGTGCGGACAGCATGCGCAGTAGCATTAGGCATTCATGTATGTGGCACAGTAAGGAGTACGTGGCCCGCCCATGCGGCGCTGGCGGCCTTGGCGATGCTATTGCAGATCACCGAGGTGGGCATGATGGTTGTGCAGACGGCAGCCGGCAGCCGGATGAGGCATCAGGTGCAGCAGCAGCGGCAGCGGCAACGGCAGGTGCGTGGAGGACTGAGGAGATGGGCATTGTGTGATTAGAGATGGATTGGTCGGTTGCATTGCGCATGAGGATGGTTGTGCCGAATGTCTACTAAGTGCAACTGAGGTATGCCTTGCATGATTGTCACATAGTGAGCAGAGGTAATGAGGTGGGATTTTGGTGGAAATATGACAGTCGGGCTGGATGCTGATGCTGATGAGGATGTTGTTGTTGCTGTGGCAGTTGCTGTTGGCCGAGGCATAGCAATTTGTCTGGCATTCACACCGTCTTCAATGGCTTTCTTCCTTTTAGTAACGCCAAGTGAGGGCCTGGGCCTGGCGACAGGAAGTGACGTATCGCATGAATCATGTTTGTCTACTCTAACCAGTATGATGCCAGTGGGAGCTTGTGCATACTGCAGGCGCACATCCACATGCCCCGCTGTCTGCACCTACATATATGTAGATGAAGGCAGCAGAAGCAGTAGTTAGCAGTGCGTCAGGCAATGCAATTGTATGTACATGTTGTTGTTGTTGTTGCTTTGCGCAGTCCATGATGCGCATGTGAATTGGGACATGTGGCAGAGCAGTCATGATTGGCAGGCATTGGTAGACCTGCCTGTGCGGACAGCATGCGCAGTAGCATTAGGCATTCATGTATGTGGCACAGTAAGTAGTACGTGGCCCGCACATGCGGCGCTGGCGGCCTTGGCGATGCTATTGCAGATCACCGAGGTGGGCATGATGGTTGTGCAGACGGCAGCCGGCAGCCGGCAGCCGGATGAGGCATCAGGTGCAGCCGAAGCAGCAGCAGCAGCGGCAGCGGCATCGGCAACGGCAGGTGCGTGGAGCAGTGAGGAGATGGTCATTGTGTGATTAGAGATGGATTGGTCGGTTGCATTGCGCATGAGGATGGTTGTGCCGAATGTCTACTAAGTGCAACTGAGGTAGGCCTTGCATGATTGTCACATAGTGAGCAGAGGTAATGAGGTGGGATTTTGGTGGAAATATGACAGTCGGGCTGGATGCTGATGCTGATGAGGATGTTGTTGTTGTTTTTGCTGTGGCAGTTGCTGTTGTCCGAGGCATAGCAATTTGTCTGGCATTCACACCGTCTTCAATGGCTTTCTTCCTTTTAGTAACGCCAATTGATGGCCTGGGCCTGGCGACAGGAAGTGACGTATCGCATGAATCAGGTTTGTCCACTCTTACCAGTATGATGCCAGTGGGAACTTGTGCATACTGCAGGCGCACATCCACATGCCCCGCTGTCTGCACCTACATATATGTAGATGAAGGCAGCAGAAGCAGTAGTTAGCAGTGCGTCAGGCAATGCAATTGTATGTACATGTTGTTGTTGTTGTTGTTGCTTTGCGCAGTCCATGATGCGCATGTGAATTGGGACATGTGGCAGAGCAGTCATGATTGGCAGGCATTGGTAGACCTGCCTGTGCGGACAGCATGCGCAGTAGCATTAGGCATTCATGTATGTGGCACAGTAAGGAGTACGTGGCCCGCACATGCGGCGCCGGCGGCCTTGGCGATGCTATTGCAGATCACCGAGGTGGGCATGATGGTTGTGCAGACGGCAGCCGGCAGCCGGCAGCCGGATGAGGCATCAGGTGCAGCCGAAGCAGCAGCAGCAGCGGCAGCGGCAGCGGCAACGGCAGGTGCGTGGAGCAGTGAGGAGATGGGCATTGTGTGATTAGAGATGGATTGGTCGGTTGCATTGCGCATGAGGATGGTTGTGCCGAATGTCTACTAAGTGCAACTGAGGTATGCCTTGCATGATTGTCACATAGTGAGCAGAGGTAATGAGGTGGGATTGTGGTGGAAATATGACAGTCGGGCTGGATGCTGATGCTGATGAGGATGTTGTTGTTGTTGTTGTTGCTGTTGGCCGAGGCATAGCAATTTGTCTGGCATTCACACCGTCTTCAATGGCTTTCTTCCTTTTAGTAACGCCATGTGATGGCCTGGGCCTGGCGACAGGAAGTGACGTATCGCATGAATCAGGTTTGTCCACTCTTACCAGTATGATGCCAGTGGGAACTTGTGCATACTGCAGGCGCACATCCACATGCCCCGCTGTCTGCACCTACATATATGTAGATGAAGGCAGCAGAAGCAGTAGTTAGCAGTGCGTCAGGCAATGCAATTGTACGTACATGTTGTTGTTGTTGTTGTTGTTGTTGTTGTTGTTGTTGTTGTTGTTGTTGTTGTTGTTGTTGCTTTGCGCAGTCCATGATGCGCATGTGAATTGGGACATGTGGCAGAGCAGTCATGATTGGCAGGCATTGGTATACCTGCCTGTGCGGACAGCATGCGCAGTAGCATTAGGCATTCATGTATGTGGCACAGTAAGGAGTACGTGGCCCGCACATGCGGCGCTGGCGGCCTTGGCGATGCTATTGCAGATGACCGAGGTGGGCATGTCGGATGTGCAGACGGCAGCCGCAGCCAGATGAGGCATCAGGTGCAGCCGAAGCAGCAGCAGCGGCAGCGGCAGCGGCAGCGGCAACGGCAGGTGCGTGGAGCAGTGAGGAGATGGGCATTGTGTGATTAGAGATGGATTGGTCGGTTGCATTGCGCATGAGGATGGTTGTGCCGAATGTCTACTAAGTGCAACTGAGGTATGCCTTGCATGATTGTCACATAGTGAGCAGAGGTAATGAGGTGGGATTTTGGTGGAAATATGACAGTCGGGCTGGATGCTGATGCTGATGCTGATGAGGATGTTGTTGTTGCTGTTGCTGTGGCAGTTGCTGTTGGCCGAGGCATAGCAATTTGTCTGGCATTCACACCGTCTTCAATGGCTTTCTTCCTTTTAGTAACGCCAAGTGAGGGCCTGGGCCTGCCGACAGGAAGTGACGTATCGCATGAATCAGGTTTGTCCACTCTTACCAGTATGATGCCAGTGGGAACTTGTGCATACTGCAGGCGCACATCCACATGCCCCGCTGTCTGCACCTACATATATGTAGATGAAGGCAGCAGAAGCAGTAGTTAGCAGTGCGTCAGGCAGTGCAATTGTATGTACATGTTGTTGTTGTTATTGCTGCTTTGCGCAGTCCATGATGCGCATGTGAATTGGGACATGTGGCAGAGCAGTCATGATTGGCAGCCATTGGTAGACCTGCCTGTGCGGACAGCATGCGCAGTAGCATTAGGCATTCATGTATGTGGCACAGTAAGGAGTACGTGGCCCGCACATGCGGCGCTGGCGTCCTTGGCGATGCTATTGCAGATCACCGAGGTGGGCATGATGGTTGTGCAGACGGCATCCGGCAGCCGGCAGCCGGATGAGGCATCAGGTGCAGCCGAAGCAGCAGCAGCAGCGGCAGCGGCAGCGGCAGCGGCAACGGCAGGTGCGTGGAGCAGTGAGGAGATGGGCATTGTGTGATTAGAGATGGATTGGTCGGTTGCATTGCGCATGAGGATGGTTGTGCCGAATGTCTACTAAGTGCAACTGAGGTATGCCTTGCATGATTGTCACATAGTGAGCAGAGGTAATGAGGTGGGATTTTGGAGGAAATATGACAGTCAGGCTGAATGCTGATGCCGATGCTGATGAGGATGTTGTTGTTGTTGTTGCTGTGGCAGTTGCTGTTGGCCGAGGCATAGCAATTTGTCTGGCATTCACACCGTCTTCAATGGCTTTCTTCCTTTTAGTAACGCCAAGTGAGGGCCTGGGCCTGGCGACAGGAAGTGACGTATCGCATGAATCAGGTTTGTCCACTCTTACCAGTATGATGCCAGTGGGAACTTGTGCATACTGCAGGCGCACATCCACATGCCCCGCTGTCTGCACCTACATATATGTAGATGAAGGCAGGAGAAGCAGTAGTTAGCAGTGCGTCAGGCAATGCAATTGTATGTACATGTTGTTGTTGTTGTTGTTGC